CTTGCCTCTCGCGCTGCGCGCAAAGTCCGTTTTCTATTCCACGCAAAGTGCCTCTTTACACCCGAGCACCTTTTATACAGGGCTCAAATCCGCCCGATGCTTGAATACTGCGGTCACGTATAGGGGGAGTGGGGGGGGGGAGGGGGAAGCTTCGTATTCCGCTCTCTCTCCTCGACCCTGTTCAACTTAAGGCCATCCGGCTGATCAGCGAGCCGTCTCCGATTTCCAGTCTACAGTCACATTCCCATCGCCGAGGAGTTACTTCATTATTTTTCTTCCCTGGTTCCTATTTTGGTTTCTGCTCTCCCGTTCTCAGGCGGGTTTCTTTCCCCAGGACTGCGAAATTGTGAAACATTTCCCATCTCCGTATTTTTGAACACTTATTCTTTTCAAAAGCAGGATTAACAAATAGGTTCTCATCTGAATGTTCACCCATACTTTCCGCCTTAAAGTTAGTCATTGACAATGGGGTTTACCCCTTTTTGCTGTTAATAAAAACCATGACCACGGGGCGGTGTGTAAATCGCTGCCCATTTGAGATCGGGGTTTAATCAATCAGATCATACACTTTTCGGACGTGGTTCACACTACGCGATTGCCCAACGCTCCCTCTCACCAAATGGAGCCAATGACCATTTACAACTCTTATTGGGTTGCTTGCAATCTGGGTTTTCCAACTGTCATATGAACTAGCTCCTCGTGGCCTATCAATCTGGTCATAGCCTTTAATACAAGCTTTTCACCTTCACCGTAGCGAAGACACTGCTGCCCCTAGACATTTTTGTAGGAGCTCTCCAGCAAATGCAATAGGAGACTTATTTCTTGGAAACGATAACGAGATTCCACTCGCCCTAGGATAGACAGGTTTTCCGAGAGAAATCCGCACATCAGAACAACATTTAGATCAACTGATTCATTCGGAATACATGAGATATCAGTAAATAACTGAAGTGGTATTTAGTGGTATTTATTTGACATTCAACCATCATCTTTGACTCGAAAAAGCCGTTTACACTCAACAGAAAGCACAATCTCGCAATCAAATGACGCGTTTAATAATGGCAATCGGTCTTTAGTTGAAGGGCTCAGATATCCATCTTTGAACAACTATAGAGTGCATTATGCTTCCATGATGTCAATAATTTTCTCTCGGAATCAGCTTTCACGGTTGTTGGAGCCGGCCGAAATGAAATACATGATCCCGGTAATGGCTATCCAGTCATGTCTTACTCTCGCATCGTATACACTTTCTGTTTAACTAACAACACAACCGCCGCTGAGCTTTTCCTCACCAATACAGTTGTGTGGACAGTGATGAGAATGAAATTAAATTTAATCACGGTAACCGCCTTCCACCAAATAACGTCGAGGACTTTTTTTAATCTAACAAAGATAAGCAGCCCCTAATTCTTCGGCTCCGTTCATGTCCTAGTTTCTAATTTTGTCTTCCTCTTCAGATGTCCAACGAGGAGAGTCGCCTCAATGAATACAAGGAAAAAACAAAAATAGATGGCGAAGAACTGGTTCGCAATGTGTTTCCCAAACGGGTCTTTGAGATGGAAGGAATACTAGCTTCGGAACTATTCTCTTTGGGTGAGTTGGGGTTACCCACAAACGGCTTTAGCAAGCGATCTCAATTATTATTATCGAACCATAAACGAACAGCGGTTGGGGTGGCTGAGATTCCCAAGTAGAAGAAAGCCCTGGTTATCACGTGGAATATAAAATCGATCAGTATTCAGAAGTCGAACGAATCTTCACTACAACTTCCAAAATTCGCTCTCTAGTTTTCTTTCGCTCGTTCGATGCAGTGTTTGGTGTTCAAGTATCGCCAAAGCGCTCACTTTCATCGAAGTTCCATATATCCTCGGTGTATTCATCATTTTCTCGTTTTTTCCTGCCTCTCTTGTTTTAAGAATCATTACACCTGTAGCTCGAAATCTGATTGCCATGTTTTCTTTTAATTTACCCAAACACGGTACTCCTATTTTTATGGTACTTTGGTGTTCTGGATTGACCTGTTAAATGACCTCGACGCCAGTGTAAATATCCTCAGGTCAGGCGATATCGTATTCGTTTCTTATAAAAGGCTGCGCGTCAAAATTTGGCCTTATACTTCGTTGCTTATTCATTACCCTGCCCCTTTTGCGTTTTGCACTTGCCGGAATGTTTCGCACCTTGCCGCATCACTCAAGCATTCGGAGCAGTTGTGGTTTTGGTTGCCATTTTCCAGTAGTCATAGTCACCCGGCATGCCACACTCGTGAATGAATGAATGTGGAATTTGAAGCAGCTCAAAACATCAAAAAAGTTCGTTTTCGATGATTTGTTAACTAACTAATACATGACAGATTAAGTTAACCTCCTTTTGTGCCTGCCCATTTATACGAGATAACCTATATGTACAGCATGAATCTAACTAGTCCACAAAAATCCCTGGGCTCGAGTGAATAGTGTAGTGGCCAAGTCCACTAGCAGTGCGATCTTTTCACGCTTCGCTGATTCAAACCACGTAGTTTGGCTGGAGCGTCCTTCCTTTCTTTAATTTACATCCGGGCTTGATAAAAGTATTTAGCTGATTTCATTTTTTTTTACAAACATTAACCATGCGCATTTGTACATCGGTTTTGGTCGCTGTCTCTTAAGGCTGCCCATTTGGATAAAAGAATAGAGCAAAGATTGAAATGTTAAGATCAGAATCACGTTGAAAAATAGGGGATTCATATAGACTAAGGTTGCAATGATAATGAGTAGATGCACGAGCACCATGTTTACGGCAGTCAGCAATCTAACTCTGTGTTTCTAACTCCCAATAACGATGATCCTGAGGTCCCCATCCAAAGAGCCGAAGACAACCTAATCTCATGGTTAGGGTTTTCATACCCTCATACCGGTTCTTAGTTTGACCGCCGTTTACTGTTATCCATCCAATCCCTTCCTCGGCGTAAATGGTACACTGTGGGAATCGACTTCATGACATGCTCCTAACTAACGTAGTGTACGATGGCCGACCACGTGCTCCACTGGGCAATCGCGATTACCTATAACTCTGTTCCTAACTTCAGCATTGCTTGTGCGGTTTCCCCACCAAATTCGTGCAATGCGGCGTAGACAGCAATGTTCAAACACCGATAGTTGATGTGTTTCTGTGTTGGCTGAGTCTCTGCATCGTGAAGCAGCACTGGCTGGACAGTTGTGACGTACATTTAACCCTCCACAGACAACCGGATGTCACGATGGTGCTACAAATATTTAAAGTTGGCAAATGCCAATCGAGCCTTCTGTATGCGTGCTGACAGCTAATCTGTGATGCGTACGCTAGGTGAGATATATCTGCCGAGATAGCCTTATTTGTTTACTTCCTCTACTACTTCCCTAGTTCGAGAAAGGCTGGAGGCTGGACCAACCTATTCATTTAGCAACGGTTTTCACTATGAAAGTGCAAAACATGGCTCATTTTGTTCACATCGGGAGCGATCGGAATTTGCCTACGTAATCCCCCAATGCTCTCCATAACAGCTTGCAGGTGCATTGTGTCTTCTAGGACATTTATCACATTGGACCAAGTCATGTCAACCCACATGTCCCTTGAGCAATGCAAGTATGTGACAACCGAAGTATGAGCATTCTCCGCTCACGCACATGAAATTTGATCTATTTCCTTAGGCTCTGGACAATCCCTACTCCCCGGGACATGGCGTTGCTTTAGTTAGCAGATGAATCACTGAAAACCAGTTTATTCGCTGCTGCTTTTCTTACAGTATTTGTCAGGGAGTTCAACAGACCACATAGCAGTAAGTTACCGTTGGTGTGGCTCAGTACAAAACTGCAGGTCCTATTGGACCACCTGCGTTGAATCTGACCATGCGTTAGTTTTGATGCAGTTCACTTTCCAACTCACTGGTCGCAGAAAATTCCACCAAACTCGATTGACAGATCATCGCTTATCTGACCCAGTCGTTCGTGCCCGTTTTGAATCAGAACTAGGGCAAGAGCTAAACGCTCGGCGGGATGGTAGTGTAAATGAACAATGGGATCAGATTCGCCGAGCAATGCACTTCGCAGCGAACGTTGCTTGTGGATCTGAAGCAGTAGCCCGCCCGAGGCATTGGATATCTGATAAGTCAGTAGCATTAATGGAGAAAAAGCGACAAATCCCAACCACCCGGGATCAAGGCAGGGTTAGGTGGCGTCTACAACGTCATCTCACGAGGAGCCTCAAGAAAGACCGTGAGAACTGGTGGGCAACCATAGATAGTGAAATGAAAGTAGCGGCTGCATCAGGGAATAGTCAGAGAATGTTCCAACTGATACGCAACACGGGACGTCGGCGAACCACAGTTAGTGAAATAATCTGCGACAAAAGTGGGCAAGCTATTCACAATAAGTAACAACGATTTGACCGGTGGTCGGAGTACTTCAACGAACAGTTCAGCTGACCAGGCGCTAACCAAGCTACCTCTTCCAATGTAGCTGAAGCTCCGTGGGCAGTATCATTTGAACCTGCTACTGCAGGAGAAGTTCGTTCTTGCATCCAAGCCCTGAAGAAAGGGAAAGCAGTAGGGCCAGACGGGCTCTCTCCCGCTCTTTTCAAGATGGGGGGCGATGACCTTGTAGACTTCATTACTGATTTAATGCTTAACATCTGGTTACACGAGCGCAGTCCATCATCCTGGAGGGAATCACTGATCGTTCCAATCTTTAAGAAGGGTTCTCGCAATGACTGCACAAACCCTCGTGGAATAAGTTTGATCCCAATCGTCACCAAGTTACTAACCTCCATTATATTTCGACGTCTGACGCCGTTTAGGGAGACAAACTACCGCGAACAATAAGCAGGATTTCGACCAGGTCGCGATTGTATCGATTAAATCTTCACCCTGCGTCAAGTCCTCGAGCTACGCCATACGCACCGTCGACCAACGGTTGTCGTGTTCCTTGACCTAAAAGGAGCCTTCGACTCAGTTGATCGTGAATCCCTTATGGGTTCACTCTGTCGCAAAGGAATGCCGCAGAAGTATGTGAATATACTGAGTTCACTCTACTCACATACTTCCGGTAGCGTTCGGGTCTACGGCGAGCTGAGTAGATCGTAACTAGCAGCGGTGTTCGTCAAGGGTGCCCTCTTTCACCATTCCTGTTCAATTTCGTCATAGATGAAATACTGGAGAACACACTAAGTGGTCTCCAAAATGTGGGTATTGAATGGGCAGCTGGAGAAAAGCTGTGCGATTTGGAGTACGCTGACGACATCGTTTGCTTGTTCGAATGTATGGAGAATGCAAAAATAGCACTTGACAGATTTTCCAGTTCTGTATCTCCGTTCGGCATGTGCTTTGCACCTTCAAAGTGCCAAGTAATGCTACAAGACTGGGTGTAATCGAGTTCTGTTTTGGAACTAGACGGTCAGGAATCAGCTTAAGTTGACTGCTTCTCGTACTTAGGTATCTGCGTGACCAACGACGGTAGCGCATCAAAGGAGATAACCGCCCGCATCTCCAAGGCTCGGGCAGCATACGCAGGACTAAAGTACCTGTGGCGGCGACGGTTGGGAGACCTTGAATTTGCGGGTGGAAGATACCGTCATTTAGCCGTGTTCGACAATCGATGCTTACATAGTTTGGCCCAAGTGGGATGGAATGAGCGGGTTAGTTATTTAGAAGTAAATCGTCGGGTGTTTCGGAATACATCAGACAAGAACTCGCTCTCATCGAATCCAGCACATTAGGCTCCGTTGGTTAGGATACATTTTGCGTATGTCCGACGGCCGCCTACCGCAGTGCGCCTTGTTTGCAGTAGCTGTTACAGGCTGGAGAAAGCCACGTGGGGGCCAGCAGATGAAGTGGAGACGAAGCATGAGGAAATGCACAGAGCCATTATGTAGAGGTGTCTCTCGTCTTCCGAGTTGGGGTCCAAAAGACCCCGAAACCGCATGTTTGGAGATATTGAAGGTCATGGCTGGGAACCGACAGCAATGGCGATCATGGTGTCACTTCTTATCAGTCCAGAATGCTCGAAATAGTATGTATGCACAGTTGGACTGTGTACTCTGTGTGTTAACCGTAGAAGTTCGCTTTCTTTTCCCGTTCCTAATATTAAGTCCAATCCGTATCCTCCTTACACATTCTCACTCACCTTGTATGCAATATGAGTTTGGCAGCGATCAGTGAAGTTCACTTCGCTGTATTACGCTGTACAATGATGATAATGATGATGATGACGATGTTTAACGACGTTGGGAATCACACTGTTCGTTTTTCAAGTGTCCGTTCAGCTGCGGTAAAGATCGACGTCAGATTGCGTTTAGTGTTCTTGATACTTGATCTTCTTTCTAAAAGGATTTAAATTTTGTTCTGTGATAGATGCCTTTCCATCCTTCCGTTTCTTCCCTACGCAATTATCTTGGCTTTATCGCTTGTACTATCACCTATGTTTTCCTCACAAGCGTAGTATTGTTTGTTTCCTGTTCCGATCTCAAAGTTTTAACGGTCTGACAAGATAGTCTTCGAATGATGCGATGCTCTGTTAGATATAGGCTTGGCTATATAAGTATAGCGTCAGAAACGAAGTCCGTATCATACAAATATGTTAATGTTAGTTCTCTTGTTGCATTTGGGACAAAAGTAGTAACACGATGTAGTTTAAACCACGCGGCATTTCATCGTCCTTCTTGCTCGTTGATCACCAAAAGTCGGAATCGGACTCAGGATCTCAAATGGTGGACATGAACACATTACCTTTTGAGTTTCTGCACACGGTTGACGGAGAACGGAACAGTGCTCTAGCAAACAAAATTTAATCCATACCTGAATCTCCAGGTTTTTGAAAATAGAATGATTCGATTGTTTTTCTCCATGATCGTTGGTTTGCCTTCCGTTCATCCAGAAAACTTGCTCAGAAATCCACGAATTTTATCGAATACAAAAGTTAGATAAATGCTAGCAAAGTATGAGTGAAAATGAAAGTAAATGATACCAAACTTATTTCCTAATAACACGAGATCCATGGATGGAACGGATCTCACCGAAAAACCTGGGCGTCGTGCTCATGATTATTGAGGAAATTAGCTTATCTTAGCCACGACGAATGAAAACCAAAACACAAAGGCGTTAGTGACCAACACCTTATTTCCTGTTCAACCGTCGGCATCTGCGACCATCATAAGTTGTGTTGTATAATACACTTCCTTACCCGTGCTACCCTCCTCCGTAGGGCATGCCCAAGTACTGATTTGGCGACTTGGCACCATATCGTGGTGATCCTATTGGCATTTTATGTGATCTGCTTCTCCGAGTTACAGACCGCAAGCCACCGGTTGTCTTCACCTCACTGGGTCTTCCTGACTATCCACTTACTGTGCAAAATACTTATTCAGTGCTACGGTGATGTTAATGTGATTATATATACGTGTATTCTCGAAGCAAGTACCCGAGGCCTATAGTTTACCAATCGTACACTTCACTAGGACCTATAGGAATCGAATTACTGTCCCGGATACAAACAATAAACTGTCAGAATATCCGGAATGGTCGTTTCACCCACTCCCCATTCAACGTCTCGTGTACCTCTAAATGTACGACACATCACTGTAATGCTTCAGCGTCATCCTTTCCACTGTGTGGTATTCAGTTTTGAAAAAAACTGAATTGTCGTCTATCTCAATGGTATAGAATGTGTCTCGTTTGATGCGCGAAATCTCGGTAATTTTCGTGGTTGGGTTTGACGATATGAAGTCATTGCAGAAAAGCGAATTATTTTGGCTATGTATCCCGGAGGTGTGGATCGTATCATGAGAGCTTAAGATTCGTCGGATCGGACAGTGCCCGTCAACGAAATGCAACCTCCACACACTACTCTGCTGTCCTATGAGTCAAGGTTTAGCTAACCGACGGATTCGGTTGTGAATCCCCAAGAAAATCATCTGTTTTGGTTTGGACAATGTGGCCGTGTTGCGTCCACAAACAAATAATGCTTCGTTGAGAACACAAATTGATGCGGCGATTTCTTTTATTTTATACATTCTCTCTAGTTTCTACTTAATCCATTGAGAGTCAAATAAACAACAGATCACATCACTGTTCGGTCACGTAATCAACTCTGCTCGTCGAACGCATTCGTTATCCCCATAACGATCATCATCATCATCGTTGTGCAGCGAAATACAGAGAAGCGAACTTCACTGATCGCTGCCAAACTCACAATACATATGCAACGGGGTTCGCTAGACGGATACTGCTAGGGTGTCCAGCCACTAAGCAGAAGAACAATTAGGGTTCTCAACCAAAGCCTTTAGTTCTGATCAGAACCTATCCGCAAGGCAGCAGGTGAAGCCAAGTAGAGGCCCATTTACTTGGATCAATTACTCCTCCACTATTTTTTACCGACTGAGACGCCGACTCAAGTCAAACCTCCAACCTGGAGGACCAGGAAACTGACCTTCGTCCAATCTCAACCCTTCGACCTTCCAGGTATGATTAAATCTTCGGCTTGATAAAAGCCATCTTGTGTAGCTCGTTGGATCAGAGACGTACACAAGCCATCACACCACGTCAAAGTGCATTCTCGGTTCTAGATTAACGATGTCAGTGCCCCCTGTTTGTTACTTTGCTTTCGACCTCTTATCGCTATTCCTTATTTGTGGAAAGCACAAATAATTACGCCTATTTCTTCCAATGCCAATGTAATCTTCACAACCATTCCCGCCTCCCACCCTGCCACGTAATTGATCAAAGGTCAGAGTGATGGTCATGCATTTGCACTTCCATGTGTCTGTGTGTGTGTGTGTTGCATCACACTAAGGAACATTGCATTACCTTTCCCATTCACGCGACAAAAAATCACTGATATTCTTTTCTCAAAAATAAAAGCTGTTTGAATTTCGGCACCTGGCTGAGTCTAATGAAAGGAACCATTGCGACCGTTTGTGATTATCTTGGATCATAATGTTTCTTGCCCCGTATGATCCTGGTGCTTAGTTCTTTCTCCCTCGTCACTCGAGCATGGCATCTGACCTTCGTCTCTTTTCGATAGCACTTTGGTACGCCAAGGCTACCCTAAATGCGCTTCAATCGATACACACACACACACACCACGGGTTTTGATACGTAACCAAAGTGCAGTCTGTTAATCCGAGGCATACGAGGTGCGTTCAGTTGAAGTAAGTTTTTTGCGTCAGTCAGCCGACTGACTGTGGATCTCATTACTCAGTCGAACTCACCGAACCGGTCAGGGCATTTTGTGATTCTTCACTCCGACTCCCAGGTCTTAGATTGCCGGTCCCCGTAACTGTGCGTTTCATTTTGCTCTCAGAATTAAACATGTGCTGATCCAAAGCAGCTGCACTGCAGTCATTTTCGGTTTGTGCACCGGGTCTGTGTGTCTTGTTTGTGGTTTTTCCACCACTGGTGTTTACGCAATTTACTACGGATGAAATGCAGTTTATAATTTTCTAGTGATAAATTAAGACTTTGTAAGGCGTTTGTAGAAAAAAGAAACATTGCGTTGATCATCAAGTGGTTGAGATCAGCGTCCCATTGGCCTGTAACTGGTGTGTTGGAATTCAATCACCGCGGCCTAACTTGTCTCGTTTTGATCGGCCGTATTCCTTCCTGAAATTCAACTGTATATTTCGGAAATAGATGGAGGTAAAGGATTATTTTTATTAAGCGTGCTTGCTTCCTCTCTGCCTTGTTCATCTTTTAAACCAGGTTCTGGTAGCTCGGTGGTAAAGGTCACCAAATTATCACCCTGGAGGAAATGTATTCGAATAGCAGTAACATTACCACCTCCATGTGATGCAACATAATCCATCTTATTCTGAGTTCCTGTGTTCGTTCACGGTCCCTAACTTTTGGAGCTACTGGTCGTTTGGAGCACCTTCTAGCAAGATGTTTTCCCTATGACCCTCAATCTTTGTAGGGATCTAGTTGCGAAAGTTAACTCGTGAGTGATTGCCAAATGAATTGTCGCATCGTAATTCTGATTTAGTCAGATGTCCCCCTCCCCACTCACCTTGTTCCGTTCGATCCCATTAACCATGCTGTATTTTACTCTAATATACCTCCGGACGAAACTCACCAAACTAGATGGTAAATGTTTCAATGTTTCAAATCTCCTAGCGTATAAGACAACAATTGTACCGTGTTGATCACAGTGAATCTATTCAGGGCAATATATACTCCTAGTTTGCGCCTCCTGGTCAGTGCTAAAAAGTGCATTACGGCAAAGCCAAAAATTTTCGTGCCCTTTGAAAAGGTAAACTAACACACACACACACACACACACACAGAGAGAAACATATCACGTGATAGTTTGCTATAAATCACATTCTGTTTGATTTACCCATTTTGACTATTTTCTTCTCGTAGCACTGTTTAATTTTGCCATGGAGAACTGACGAATCTGTAATGATCCTAAATTTAACCGTTCATGAAACTTTGTTGTTTCATCACGCGATTTGACGTGAATTTATCTATTTTGTGCCTCTACCCACCCTCACCCCACCCCCGGTATTATTTAGACCCGGAAAAAGTCTATTCTGAGGTGAATATTCCTTACCCACAAGTACGGTCATCTAAAATCCTCAATTCCTCGGGTGATCTGCATCACACCAACGCACTGAATGAGGATCAGCCGATGGTGATGGAGAAATCTCGTTATGGTGTATTGCCTTACGGACCGGTGCCGTACAATCGATGTATCAAGGCTATGATCGAAGTGAGTATACAGATAACACAGTGCTTGCACGCTTGCTTTATCACCACAGACCAATGGTATCCAATTTGTTTTGGGTAGAGTAGGCGGGGTTCGAGTAGCCCGGATACAGGCACACCATGCCACTGATCATTAAAATTGTCGCGACCACACATATAGTCTGTTTCGCCAGACTTCCCAACCTTTGTTAAGGACTCTCTCTTCTATATCCACCTATCTATCCCCCTACTTTTGCTACTCCGTTCAACCTGTGACATCCCCTCAAACAAGGTGTTTGCCACTGACAAAACCTCGTGGCCAAATAGAGTTGTGTGCAGTTTACGACCATATAAATTGCAGATTCTGAAGCCTCGTCAACCTCGGAATCTGAGGCCCCTAAACTTGGGAACTATCATGCAGTTGCACTAACGAGTTCATTTAATGCTTACAATCGACTCTCTAGGAATCGATATATGCTGCATGCTTGAGGCGCGAATTCGCTATCCTGGTAGCATAAGTTAATTTACTGAAAAATGCCAGCCCTCGACATACCCAATAAAGATAGTTCAGAATCAGCAATTACAACTGACAAACACTTTCCGGTAACTACGACAATACCCCAATGGTCATATTGAAAACAGAACTTGAGTTGGGAAAATTACTTAGGAATCCTTGGGAATAGAATCAGTTCAGATATTTTAAGCATTGAGTTCCCTTTATCGCACAATTGTGCGATTATATTTCTTCAAACAATTTTCAACTTAATACTCCTCTTGAATACTTAAGAGAACTTATTCTTATATGTACAGAAAACATTCGCTTTGAGTTTGAAGGGGCCACATACAAACAGATCGATGGCGTGGCAATGGGGTCCATTCTGGCAGACGTTTTTCTAGGTATGATTGAGAAAAAGCTAGGTGATATTATTTCTAAGTCCACCCTGTACAAACGTTACGTGGACGATATTTTCATTCTTACAGATTCTGATCATTTTAATACACTTTTGCAACAGTTTAACTTAGTCCATTCACATCTATCTGTATCTCACGAAACGGAAACCAACAACACTAGCTTTTCTTGACGTAAAAGTTACAAGACGGACGAATGGGACACTACAACGCTCAGTCCACCGAAAAGCGACATGGAGCGGTCAATATCTGCACTTTTCCAGCTTTTCCCCCATGACTTACAAACGTGGGCTTGTGAGAACCCTATTTCATCGGGCGAGAAACATTTGTTCTCCAGATACACTAAAGGAAGAAGATTTCCTAAGGAGAACATTACTAAACAATGGCTACCCAGAAAGGTTTATAGATATTCATTGTAGACCAATTCCAAAAGTTAACCCGTCCCAAAACGTCGATATAAAGGCTACCTACATCAAGCTTGCGTTCAAAGGTGATCACATTTACAATGATGTGCGCCAGAAGTTGAGGTCAGCTCTAGACCGTACATTCCCAGCTGCTCCACTCAGACTCATCGCCTCCACTCGTGGAATCGATTTGGACAAATGTAAACATGGCTGGCAAACCAGTTCCGTCTCACACACTGTATACCAGTTCACCTGCAGTTGCAGTGACGCATACATAGGCAGAACAAACCGTTAGCTGTCACAACGGATGGCCGAACATATTCCAAAGTGGTTGGTGAAATCGATGACGCAACCGACAAATGATGGTCAAGTGATGGCAAGAAATCCAGGATCATCTGTTGCAAAATATCTCATGGCAACAAGACACACAGTTGACCCCAATTCGTCTTTCAAACCACTATTACGTAATCGAAATGCAAAACTTTTAGCGATTAGTGAAGCACTGCTTATTCGATTACATCACCCGACCCTATGCGCACAGAAGGTTTTGATACAAGCGATCCACTTACCGTGGAGCTGACCTTCTACTTCTAAATTTAGTAGTCATTGTATGCTTGTACACGTTTGTTCACCAAAATTGATTCATCCGATGTGCTATATATGTGCCTGTTTGTTTTAAGTCAGCGAAATGTTAACATCTCGCGACATTTATCTTCGTTCTGTTTTGATGAAAAGTTCAGGTATTATCAATGTCGAAATTCCTTCGAGTAAGAAGCGGTATCATGGTTGGCCAACAACCGTTTTTTGAAAATGAAGCTATTATGGTCGTCCGATAGTGGTGTACTAATAGTGTGTTCACGCTTCAGCTTATGAAAGGCCTTAAGAAAGAAAAATGGTGAAATGGAAGTAGCAACATTAGGGAATAGTCAAAGACCGTTCCAACTGGTGCGCAACACGGGAGGTCGGCGAATCCCAGTTAGCGAAACAACTATTTGACCGGTGGGCGGAGTATTTCAACGAGCAGTTCAGCTGTCTGTTGAAACTGAAGCTCCTTATACAGTGCTCTATGATTGATTGAAACGAAAATCACTACAATATGCTTTATCGGTATTCTCGTGTTATTCATTTTAAGAATGTCAGGATTGTGTGCAACGCTTTAAATAGGACGCTTTTCCTTCTTAGTCTAACGCAGTTCTCTGGCGCCGTCCATAAACGCTGGTGCTGTTTTGATTACCTGCTCCCTCTCATTTGCTGGGGGAAATCTTTTAAGACAGGATTCGGTAACGTATGTTTAGGTAGATACAATTGTGGCAGTGCATAATAACACTGCATATGACTTGCTGTGTACTACGACAGATTACAGTTCTGCACAGAGGGTTTGCGTGCAAAACTAAACTAATCGTTATCCTGAGAAGCACTGTTTAACATCACAGCTTTCCAACAATGAACTGCTACCGCTTCAGCATATCTGAACAGTTTCACATTTCGGATTGTATCAACCATTTGAATGCGGTACTCATCGGTCTTTCTGATACGTAGGTGCCAACATATGTCCAATCGTCGAAAGTGTTGGAGCTATCCGGGGAAGAATATTCGTCACGCTGGGGTCACAGTTAGTTGCGATATTCATTGTTCTTCTTTTACTCTGTCGTAAATCGTTTTTGGAATAAGTTATTCTCTACTTGTTCCGATTTTTACTGACATGTGTAAGGTTGTGAAGGAACGTTTACCAAACTGGACTCGGTATGCGAAACATCGATTCCCATTGTGGTCCATTTATTTTGTGACTGGGAAGTGTTGCACATTCACGCTCTCGACCCCGTCTAGGACAAAACAGTGTTTTAACTCGTATTGTGACTCGTGTGGTTCGTGGTTGAATAAGTGTACAAAGTGTGCTTGCCTATTGGTACAGTCGATCTGGTTTTCGGCGTTGAGCAGAAGCGAAGAACACTGGCAAGTGTCTCAAACCGGAGTTGATTCAAATTGACTGACTGATATTCACTGGAATGGGAACAGTGTGGCGAACAAGCTGGTTTTCATCTGTCGGCCACCACCAGCAGCACATTATATGGCTCAGGAAACAGTGTATGAAGATCGGAGATCAAATTGGTAATGTGTCTACAATGCGATGAGATGGACATGAGGAGTGGGAATAAGAATACTCAAACAGACCACGCAATTGGCGATAATAATTTGTGAAATTTCAACTGAAACTGTAGACGAGGGCATTTGGGACATAACCACTGCAGTTCAAGGGGTCTCGTGCATAGTGGAGGTTGTTCAGTCTAATCATTGTTACCGGTACTGTAGATCACAATCTGGCTTTATTGTGTCGACTGATTAGAATGAACGAAACGATTTCTGCACATCATCAGTGATTCATTTCTGCCAAGAGTACAGCAATGGGACTCGCAGTTTCCCTTAACGGTTCTCGGCTGAACCAAGATGAGTGATTTTCTCTCACCCGATCGGTCAGGTCCTCGATAGTACGACTAACGTAATTAGCGTTCAAGGCGTTACTAAATACAGAAAGAGATCATCCCCAGCAGTCTTCGAGCCCACGGGGTCCACCCTGTCTGTTGCTCATCTCAAAAATGTGTGTAATAGGGAAAAGTCTGTCCTCTATCTGTAATGGGATAACGGATTTGGAAGAGTAAAATTGTGTTAAAAAATTTTATATACCGTGCAAACTTTTCTTCTGTCGTAACATAGGGTTATTTAAGTGTACATTGTTGATTATCATAGGACGATCGATAAGGCCACCCGGGTTTCCTTTTTCCTGAAACGTTAGTTTAACCATCGCAGATTCATCACCCAACTCACAACACAGCTCCCTTATCACGTCCCTTTCAGAGAGTTGTGCACTAACTACAGGCCAGATTCGGATCGAATGGTGTATCGCATCCGATAACAGCTTGAGGTGTTTTAGGATAGCACCCACCATTTCTCATTGTTGTTTTCTTTTCGTCTAAAATTTCACACCTTTATTCTCATTAGTTAAATGAATCCTCTTCTGGTATATTCACAAACCGAGGAGCAAATCGCCGGGTGTTTGCATGTTTCGTGTTTTAGTGCGAGATTTTCATTCGTTGGGTTGAATCATCCCAGCCCCAGCTGTTCTGAACTTTTCCACTAAATGTTCAACCACTTTTAGTTATTCCCTGCCTCAAGCAGAATGCCTTTAGGCAAATACCGAATACTCCCCCATCGGCCGCTGCATTTCATATTTCGATTCAGTTTTGCCACAATTTACACAGTGTAGTAATATCCGGTCAGATATGCTCCCACTTCTCTAATTGCTTATATTTCAACTCATTTGCCAACAAACTGCCTGTTCTTACTCACCGTCGTTTTGATGTGTTCTGTGTGAGATCAACCATAGGAATCACCATCACTGGCCTTTGGTCCGATTCGGTAATCCGAAATCGTGGATCCCATAGCGCCGTTGCGTCGGTCTCGAATCACGTAATTAGAGTGGACCTGTTTGTGAGGATGTCAATGCACGTGTACTGTAGCAGATTTTCAAGTTGGTTTAGACCGAATGTTATTATTGGTTGAAGAAGCACTTCTCCACGCACGCAAACATGTCACCCAGCCGAACAACGCAGGCCCGGAAAACAGTGAATGTGTATGTGACTACAGCTGCTGGAACAGTTGTGAAGTGCATTAATGCTTTTCCGCGATGACTGACTTGATGATTCCCTGTTGTGTTATCTGTCAGCACTGTTTTTTTTTCGATTAGCCACAATATTTGTACGAACAGAATTAATTACCTTAGGATTTTGTGTCTGTTCC